CTTTTTCAGACCGATGAGCTTTGTAAAAATTGACGCGTTTCAGAAAGGCGGGGCATAGAGGAGAAACAATAATGTACAGTATGTTTTTTGAACCTTAAACCGCATAAACACATTTCATTACACCAAATACACCAAATAATGTTCTTTTTAGCAGCATCATATGACCCCTTTAAGATAAAACTTAATAATATTGCCATGAATGAAAGATTACAATGTTTGATTTGAAAGACATTTTAAGGAAGGGTTTCATTCATGTGTCTCTTTCTTTACAGAGTAAATTGTGGTCAATATTTGTTAACTTTTTCACAATCTACTTTACCTGATGTTTCTCCTACATTTCTCTCTTTCTCACAAGGCCGACCCCATCCATCTTTCTAGGTGACTCTTATTATCTCTTCTTTGTGTCCTCTATGACCTCCTCTCTTTCCTCCTTCAGTCGTCTGTTAGGTAACCGATATGCCTGTCACACTCTCTTTGTCTTTTCCATCCTCCATCTTTCTTCCCCACCATTTATCTTGGCCTAACAATGTCTTAGGCTTCACTATTATAATTCCTATAAACTCAAAACACCCTTTTGGCAGTTCATGTGTTCATTGCTCAGCACAGAACGTGGCATTTCTTCATATTTACTTCTCAAATTCTCAGCGAAAGACTGTGGACTCGCAGTTGCACGAAGACCTGAAGCAGTGTGCCTCAGAAACACAACGAGACTCACTCATGGCTGTGTCATAACGAATCAGAAACATAATTAAGCTGAATATGCTGTCTGTTCCTTTACAGATTTGCTGTTGCTCTTGAAAATTGGTTTAATGCCTGAGGTAGGTAATTTATGTGCACAAACATCAACATTATCTTACATTCACAACCCGATAAGGGCATTTTCTATTTATATGCACTCACATGGCTATCTCTTCTAGTGGGCTTCACTAGAAAGTATAAAGTGTCTATGTAATTCGCAAACTTCAAATGCCCTGAAACTTTGTCAACGTGATCATATGACGTAGAGTTGACGACAACCACTGTATGGTCATGAATCAATCTCCTCTGAAAGCCAATGGCAGACGTGCATGTTTCTAAATCACAAACATTTCAACAACATTGAAGTTGCCAAACAGAAAAGTGGAAATGAGTCAAAAAGTGTCTTTAACTGAAACCTAATATTACTTGGATACACAGTGAACGATAAACCTAAAACTACAGTCTCTTCTTACTTCTAAACAACAAAGGCTGACAGAATTAACTTTGCAGTACACTTAAATGATTTATTGATGACTATGGTCCTGTATCCCCTTTCTCACACTCTCTGTAATATGAGTAAGGATTCCTCGTATCTGAGTTCAGAACGTAATTAAATTCCATCCAAACTAATACATCAATTATGATCTTTGAGGGAAACCAACGGTAACTCAGAGAGGTCGCACATCCACCACACGTCAGCCTTTATCAATGAAATGCCAGTGAGACGAACAATGCACTTTGAGTTAATTACTTAGGACGTGGCTTTGTCCTTCCTTTGTTTGTTCAGAGCTGGTCAAACCAAAACAGAAGGATTTGATGAATTTGACAGTCGTCAGATCATCATATCTTTGCCGGGCTGTCTGTTCTTATCTATCTGCTCCCATCTGCTTCACAACAAGGTGCAGTAAATAGCATGACATGATTTGATGGTTAAGGATTTTTTTTATTATTATTTTACAAGTGTAAACAAAAACAGGAGCCCAAGTTTGTTTGCAAGCGCGTCATATATGTAACTTGAGTTTGAAAGCTGACGCTGGCAGTTTCACACCATTGCACAACCTATTTGCTCATATTTATGTCACGTTGCAGAGATCAAATGCAGCCTTGTTTCAGATTTATATAACCAAGCCCAGGAAAATCTGAAAAAAGTATAATACTCTCTCCCTCCACTAGTGTTTACTGTAAAAATGAATGTCAATGTAATGAAAAAAAGTATATTCTCCTCTGTAATGTCCTCTGTCTGGAGTAACCAATACCATGGGTAAAGTGTAATGAGATCCAGTGTTAATGTGTTCTGATAGGAGGGTGAGGGTTCATGTCAATAAATGTTAAGATCTGCATTCTTGATGAATGAGCTAATGCAAAACTGTATTGGATTCTTCTTCATTAAATTGTCTCCCAGACTCTAACTCATTAATCTGTTCCATATCAGATAAGATGATGTTTTTTTTGACTTGTTAAAGTACACTTAACTGCTCTTCAAGACCTGGATCAAAAACCAAACCCAAAGCTGTCTGTGCATCATTCAAGTTATGCTGTCAAAAGTTCAATCAAATGCAATTGTTAACATACAAGCTACAGTATATTGATAATGGAGTTTCATAATGGCATACTGTTGGAATTTCAAGGAATTTATAGTCAATCAAAAGATGAGAGTAAAGAATTTACAGAAGTAAGAGTGATCTAAGGAGTGACATGTTCAGTATTCTAACTCATCTCTTATCTTTTTTTTGTTGTTTTTGTTTTATGTTAGTCCAAAATATTTGTTACTCTGCCACCTCTTCATAAGGATCCCAAAATTAGGAAAGAGAAGCTCGTTTTTAACAGTGTCCTTGATATTGTCAGTTCGACCTTAACAGTTAAAACAGTGCAGACTGTTTTGTCACAATGTAATGAATGTTTTGCAAAAAAGACTGTTACAGAAGAATGAGGTATTTATATTAAGCCCACAACCCATAATTAAAAGACATTTACTTAAGTTTTAAAGATATAGTGGCATAAAGCATAGAGAGGCTGTGAAAGAGTCTAAATTATCACTGGTTTTGGTGCAAGACACCTTGACCTTAGAAATGGACCTCAGGGAGGAAACATTTCAAATATATGATATAACCCGTTTAACTTGTAACACACTGGAATGTATAGCTTTGACATGTCTGAAATGAAGTGTGTTTGAGAGAGATAAACTCGCAACTATTCAGTGTGGTTTATTTAAAGAGGCTGGCACCGACAGGCAACCTCCAATGCAAAACTAATGCATGGTGCTGAGCTACAGTCCAAAGAGTATTTGGACCACATTACTCTATGACGAATTTGGCTGTATGTGCAAATGGACAGCTGCATGGTCTAAAGGTTGTTTTTAAGGGGCAGTTTATTTATTGCTGCTCAGATGCTTTTTGCAGCTCTGTCCAGCAGTTGGCAAACTCCTACATTTAGATATCACAATACGAAGGCATGCTTTTTCTTTAGGATAAAATACACTGATGAATTGATGACAACAACACTAACAATATATTTAAAATAAACATGGCCACTTCTCGTACATTTTTCATAATAAGCACACATGGGTGATACATGACTTGACTGCATGCCTATTAGGGCTGGGTGTTGATGCAAAAAAAAAAAAAAATTTTTTTATAAATAAATAAATAAATCTCAATATTGTCTCAGGGGGAAGCTGTCACAGAATATAGGCTGTAAAAAGAAAAAAACCTATACTGAGAAAGATGCAACGGAGTAAAAAGTGAAATACCTAGTCTCTCTAGTCTTAGTTTTGAACTTATATCAAGGCTGTCTGATGTGGACTTGACAACATATACTAGCTGTATATGACATTAATACTTAAACTTGTGATTTTGAAGACCTTTTACAAAGGGATTTACAGTTCACCTAATACAGAAACAGCCATAAAGCAACCTTGGGTGAAGGTTTTTTTTTTTTTTTTTTGCTTAAGGGCATAACGAATAGTTTAAGGGTGGCCCTTAAGCAGTGTTGGAACCTCCAAGTTTCATCACAGGTCTTTAACAAATATTCCACACTGAAACGTATTTTCCCCCACGACGCTTTAAACTATGTGCATGTGTCGATTTCTATGTAAATAAAGCATGGATGACCAAAAATAATGAATGAACACATGCATAAATAATCGCTAGGGAATGCAAAAGAAGCAACTCAACCTTCTTCTACCCAAATTCCGAGCCGATTTCGTTGTCTTCCACAGCGGGGCAGCGTAACAGCGATTTGCAGACAGCATCACCCATCCATGGGCATTTGAGAAGAACTTAACTTGCTGTCGGATGTCACATACCAACAATCTGATGTAGACAGAAAGCTATAAAAGTGCGGACACATGTCCGCGCTCAGACCATGAAGGCGTGCGCTCGCTCCATCGAGGACCATGATATGATAACATACCTTTATTTTACGCACGTTTACGCAAACGCATTAACAGCCACACGTTTTTTCCAATGGGATCAAATCCTATGATTTATGGCGAGGATTATTAAAGTGAAGATAAAATGAAAATAAATGGCAGCCGCTTGATGAACAGTTCTTCACTGAGCCCTCACGAGATCACTCTGAATCGCCCACCCTGGGTCGCCACAACTTTGGGCAGCTTTCTGATCTTCACTATCGTAGTTGATATATTGGGGAACCTCTTGGTGATCTTCTCCGTGTACAGAAACAAGAAACTTCGTAACGCAGGTAAGATCGCTTTTAAACCAAATATGGCAAGCCGTTTAAACATTTATTCGTTTAAACTATGTATTTTTTTTAAATGTCATGTCCAGATGTTTTAATTGCTAGCAAATAATCTATTATTAGTATCTGTAGCTGTTTATTCAATACTAGTACTACAAATAGTGACTAATATTTAATTAATTAGTCACCAGTAAAGTATTCCTTAAATTCTCCTACTTATTAGTAACATTAGTGACTATCCCATTGTTGCTGGAAACAAATGTAACATTTTTGCTATTGAATTATATGCCATTTCTTGCTATTAATTCTATAATAAACTTATATAGCGTCCACATTTCTGCCTAGTATGTATGATCTTTTCCAGCTTTACTAGTACTTATTCATTGTACTTCATATTTATGAAACTAGTATCTATTTAATTTGTAGTAACATTTTTATCTCACTAGTTACAATTATTTTTTACTGGGTTAATGACTATTCAGAATTGCAACTTTATAGTTTATTACAACCTTACTGGGCAGATTTTGGGACCAGGGGTGTTTTACAGAAACTTCTTATCTTAATTTTTGACTTCTATTTCCCAAGTAAAATTACAATGCTGACTAAACAGACAAGATAGAATTCTAAGTTAGAATGTTTCTGTAATACAGCCCCAGGATTCCAGTTAATAAAGTGCTTAAATTACAGGATTTTAAATATTGACAAAATTACATGCATACTGTTTAACAGTCAGTTTACACTCTACTGTAGTATACAGTGAGTTTATAAATGAATTAGGATATCATGCAGCGTTCTGCATGAACTTGAACTTCTTACTTAGTATGATTTCCTATTTTCTGCCATTCCTGACAGGGTATTGCACTGAATCATAGTGGACAGTAAGGAACTATTTTTAGAGATTTTAGGTAACTGGCCCAATATCAAACAAACCTGAACAGGCCAGTCATTTTCCTGTGAGTGAATGGAGTGCTTATCACCGGTGTCACACCGACCCATATGTCACTTTTCTTTGCCAATAGAGACCTTATGTTGTTCCTCAACTGTGAAGTTTGTGGCACCAGTTTGAAAATTACCAAAGCACTAAGGAAAAACAGGTTTTGGACAGTGCTTATGTTTACATTATTACAAAGAAATTCCAATGAACTACTTACATATGCATTATTATGTTAATGCATATTTAGCTTGTTAAAGTTATTGCTGTTGAAATTAAGTTGGCATGTGATAGTATCCAATTTTCATATCATAATAATTGCTGAAGCTTTTATCACAGTATATGAAAAACACACTCAAGTGCTTTCCTCTTAATAACAAGTTTAATAACTTTTTATTTACAACATCAAGAAGAACCTTTAACATTTAAATACTATAAAACAATACACAATAATATGTATAAGGTATAAACAAATGTTTTAAACAGATACTAAAGAATACAACTATAAAGGACAATAATAAAGAATCAGAACATTTTCAACCAATATCTAGATATTTTCTGTGCTGGCATGTTTTAGTCCAGATTAAAATGTCCAAAAACTTAAGTGTAAACAAATGTTTGAAAATAAATATTAAATAATTAAATAATTGGTGTTTTTAATGGACAAATCTGAATGACTGTTTGAAAACATGTAAATACTGACTTCCTTTCTTCTCTGTGACAAGTGGATGTCAGAAACAGAAAGTTGTGTACCAGAGTAATCGGGGTAAACAATGTATTGGTGCTTTTCCATAAGTGCCACCTACTGTCAGATAGGAAATCTGCATTTCCATTAAGCCTGTTTCGCAGCATATATGCAGTGTTGTATATTTTAACCAGCTAATGGAAAAGAAGCTAATGTGTTTTAAAAATCTGAACCATTCAGATAACAGAATTATTCACAATATTTTGAAGTGCCCACAATAACAACACCAAACTTTTCAGGCCATTTTGACATATTTCAGCATACTTGTCAGTTGTTTCAAATAAATTACGTATTTATTATATTTGTTTTGTAACATTTCCTCCTCTACTCAATATAGTGCACCATGTTCTTTGATTAGTGCATCAAATTAACCCAGTAATTGTCCCATTAGCCTCCTGCGATGTGTTCTTCATTATGTTTCTCACTAGTGAGAGGACCTCCCATGGCCCGTTGTAAAGACCACTGACCCAGTGTGAATATTCAATTAGCAATCATTCCACCACATATCCAAAGTTACAGTTACTCAAAAAACACGCATACACGCACGGTCAAACGAGCACGCACATATTCGCTCATCATTGTTCTTCTGTGGTGAAACAAAGTGGTTCCTCTCCTCCCCATTGTGGTCTATCTGTTTTATTTAAGCTACTCAACCTCAAAGACTCTATCTGCTGTGGCACCACTGTCTGTTTAGATTATTCAGACCAACCATTCCCTGCTGTTAGGTAATCCTCATTTCAACACAGCCAGTGTACCTACATCATAAAATTACAAATGAAACTCCACCTGAGAGCTAGCATTGATATGCTGCTGGACTATATGCATCTTTTAACTTGGGACCAGCTGTATATTTCAAGGTAAAGGTAATCAATTTGTGCGTTTCCTGTGAATCGAACCCATGACCTTTGTGTTGTGAGCATCATCCACTACCAGCTGAGCTACAGGAACTCCATGCGCGTGTTTGATTCCCTTTTTACATTTCTCAACATCTCGGACATTGTAACAGAGCCCGTCTTCTCTGTGCAACTCTCATCTCTAACTACTGTTCTTTAGTTGCTCTGACGCCGCTTATGAGCCCAAGGCGGTCTTATTAGATGAAGTTCACTGTTCATTCAAGAGGAACTCTTCTCTACCAATTATTCACAGAGGCTGTGTGAGTGGAAGAAGGGCCCTTTCAGCAGGCTCGGTTACTGAACATGGGTGGAACGACGACAAAATCTTTCTAGAGAATAAAGTGATTACTTACAGTCATTTTAAATAACATCATCTATAAGTCTTGTTCAAAGTGTATTCCTTAGGATATAAAATAATGGTACTGATGATTTAAAAGCTATTGTTCAGGTTTAACTGAACAACGATGCATTTGTTGAAAATTTACTGTCACATGTCTGAATGCTCTGATTGCTCTTTGCAACAAAATTGGTTGCTGACTCAAGCTCCAAAAAGGACAAGACAAGACAGGCAGAGAGAGAGAGTGAGAGACAGACAGATTCCCATGACAAATTTTCCCATTCCAAATCTTCTAAAGTCATGCAATTTAAGACTAAAATTAACTGTAGCTTTAAATGACAAGACAATTACATATGCATATAAAATCATATTGAAATTAATATACTAGCGGTCTGATTCCTAAAGATGACCTTTTTTGCAGGGTCATATACCTTGTTTTACCTTGCAGTTTTGTTGTTATGCTGTACTGCCTTGTGGGAAACTCCCTAATGTTTTGCTTTTTACCATGAAGCTTTATTTATTCTTGAGGAGTTCATGTCCTCACTTCTGCCCAACTTGGCCCTCGGCCTGCCCTTTGGGCTAGTTTCGATGCCTTAAAGGGGTCATTAGATGCGATTTCAATTTTTCCTTTCTCTTTGGAGTGTTACAATTTTTAACTTTAAACCACATAAACACATTTCATTACACCAAATACACAAAATACTGTTCTTTTTAGCAGCATCATATGACCGCTTTAATGAATGGCCAATGGCCGACATACTGATGCTGCGCTCAGTTACAGAATGACTCACTTTTGAAGATCCACTCTTGGCTTGTCCACTGTTAAACACAGCCAGAAATGCCTGGTCCACCACTTTGTCAGTCAAACGTTACACTCCTTCGCGCAAAGGGAAAGTTTGCAAACTGACTGAAATTATATTATTTTGTTTTGTAAACTGAGATCAAATAACGAAATAAAACAACAATAACATTATAATATAACATTATAACATCCTTAAAAATTTTACAGTGAGTATTTTACTCTGACTCACACCATAAAAATAAATAAATAAATAAATAAAAACCTTGAACAAAATAAGTTATGAGAAATAAAGATTAATAGACTAAAACTGTGACATGAAAAATTTCTAAATCCTACAAAAAGTAGGATATTAACTTGGAATGTTTAGATTACATTTAAGGAGGTGTGCATTATGCCATAAAAAATAAAACGATTGAAAAGGTGGCTTATTGTTGAGTGTTATAGGCTAGGCCTAGTTCTAACACATATTTTGGCACTATAGTCACATTAATGTCACAAATGAAAGGCTTTGAAACTTACATTTAATAATTCACTGGTGTATTTCAGCAGGTCACACATATTTATTCGTTATCTGGCCTTTTTTTTTTTACACATTTATTCCCATCTACAGAGCCCATGACATGCCGAAAATTATGCCCATGAATTAAGAAATGTATCACTTTTTATCGTTCCTTTGTATTAATTAAAACATGTTTAAATAATAATTAAACCATTTTTTACAACTTAATACAACAATACAACTTAAGAATTTTGTCAACTTTGTCGGCCCTATAGCCGGCAGCTTACCAGTATCCTCGGCCCGAGTCCGACTTCTTGTTCTTCTTCTTCCATTTTTTGGCGTGTTCCCGAGTCCAACTAGAGCCCTTGCGTGCTTCTCAATTCTTATTTGTGCATCCTCGTTTCCTTTCCTCGCGTCTTAGCTCCACCCCTTCAGGATGCGAGAGAAGGACGCAAGGAAAAGACGCGAGGATAGAGGAATTGAATCAAGTGAATGATAGGTGCGTTCGACTTGAAGCACGGCTACAGACGGCAGTCAACAGGCTTGTTTGAGATGCGCCTCGCCTCGCCTGAAATGTAGGCGAGAGTAGCCGCTTGCAGTCGGGGGCGGAGTTGAAACCGGAGCCGTCAAGCCGGGCACTTTCTGCTCCAGTTAGTGACGCTTGCGCGGTGTTTGCATACTCTCTATCACAGATGAAGTGAATTAAATGCAATATTTGCCAAATATACAGACGTTTTAGAAACGTTTTCATGAGCAACAGATATATACTGATTATATACTGCTTAATACATCGCCA